TTGGAGAACACAGGGTAAATATTATAGGCAATGTGGAGGCTAAGTCCAGCTGCAAATCTGAAAAACACTGAAATGACGGGACAACAACATGTGGCCCGAAGAATATTTTCAGACTGCTCAGCGTGATTCTTGACACGATTTCAATACACCAAGGTCTAGCGCGTCATCACAATAATTTGCACAAAGGTTAGGATGATCCCCAGGGAACAGAAAATTTTAATGAAAGGATGTCAAATATCATGGTCACTTTGTCATTTCAGGGCATGCAGATGATTTAATTGACATCAATCAATTGGTATCTCTTGCCATTTTCCCAAAAACGGACATTGTGACATGACTTGGACTGAAATTGGATCATATCACCTTGAGTCACTTTTGAAAGATACGACTAAAACCCATCATTTACTTGTCATCAGACGTGAAAGTGACAACATTTCATTTCGGAAAAGATCTTCTTTAGTGGCCGAGCGCCGAGCCTTCGCGCGGCTCGGATGGCCGCGACTCGGCAACACCGCTTTTTGCTTGGTCCGTACCTTGACCATACCCCTGCCGGGTGCTTCGTTCCACACACTCACGCGGTATAACGAGGTGCCGCCGTCGGTGTCCCAATCGACTAGTGCCTGAGAACTATCTTTCAGGTTGGCCGACTTTTTAATCGCATTTCCGCGCACGAAAAAGGGACGAGTGGGAAGGGGAGGGGGTGGGGGGCATTCCCACGAGAGAGCAGCGAGCCCCCTGCTCCCATGCGAGGCAGGCCCACTCCACTCCCCCGCCGTGTGGCCGGCCTGGTCGGGCAGCACACTCGCAAACCCAGGCGCGAGGCGAAAAGCATTCCCATTTTATGCATTCATTCATTACCGCCGCCCCGCCCCGCCCCGCGGCGAAATGAAATAGTCGGGTTACGTGCGCGCGCCTCCGTTTCAGATTCTCTTACTTCTCTTTCGGAAAATGTAAAGACGAAGTCTGATGCGCCCCCAGCTGCACCAGACTGTCCGACTGACTCACCTCATGCACTTCCGATGCTCGTTGACGGGCACGAAGTACTCGTCGTAGGGGTCCCGCACGTCCTCGGCCGAGTCCTTCTTGATGGGGATGCCGTTGACGCCGTTGCCGCCGTGGCCGTTGGCGCCGTTGGCCGGCGCGGCCTCCTCCATGGCCGCCTTCTCCGAGGCCGAGAACGGGTTCATGTTGACCAGCCCCGGGTTTGACGGCCTCGGCCATGCCGTCCTTGGCCGTCTTGGTGGGGGTGCCGTCGGCCGTGACGGTGGAGGCCGTGGAGGTCATGCTGCCGTTGAGCGGGCCGCTGGCGCCGTCCTCGGGCACCGAGATGGTGACGGCCTCGTCCGCATCGAAGGCGGCGTTGTCGTGCCCGTGGTTCGGCATGGCCGGCATGGCCCTGTCCACCTCGTCCTGGCCGGGGCGCCCGGGCCCGGGCACGGCGATGCTCACCGAGGAGGTGAAGTTGGGGCGCGGTTTGTCTTCCATGGTGGAGCCTCTACCGGGTCATGCGCATGGCGGGCTGCAACACAAACGAAACCAGGCGCTCGGTCAAACTGCAGTCGAGTTGAGTCATTGCATCTATGGGGCACCCCGCGGGGGCGCGAGAGAGACAGAGCGGCGGGGCACTGTTGTTGATTGACGCCAGAGCACACGGCCCCCGGTGTGAATGCACCCCCAGGAGGTGGCGTAGAAAGTCCCCGTCGGGGACGCCTCCTAAAAAGCGGCCGTTATAAATGAGGCTCCGTTACCGCGGCAACGCAACGACGCGGCGTGCCCGGGGCTGACGGGACGGGGCGGGCTGACCCTCGCGGATCTTAATCGCGAGGCTGCACTTTTTTCCACCGCCGGTTTTGCTTCTTATTCGCCGCGGGCGGGCGTTGAACCCCGGCCGGCGCGGCGGCGAGGCAGGCCGCGGGCGGACCGCGCCGGCAGGCCGTGGGCGTAAGGCTCGCGAGGATTTAATTAGCATAAAAATGGCGCGCGGTGGCAGGTGCCGCGGTGCCACGCCGAGTGCCACGTCCTGGTGGGGCGCCACCGAGCAGTGGGGGCCGATCCAGGAGTGTGTGTGAACCCCCTGAAGGTAGGCAGCTTTTGCGGCATCAATCCCTCCCCCTGAACCCATCTCTGGATCCGCCCTCGCGGCTCGCTGCGGCGTGCCCGTCAAGAGGCCGCGCCGAGTCTCTCTCTCTTTCTCTCTCTCTCTCTCTCTTTCTCTCTCTCTCTCTCTCTCTCTCTCTCTCACACACACACACACACACACACAAGCGCGCGCGCGCCTCCGACACATGCCGACACGCGTCCAAGAGGCACTCTGCCCCAACCTGCTGCACCGGCCCGGCGGCAAGGCCCGGCTGGCTTCCAGAGCGACTAGACTCGGAGTGACTGGACGACGCCAGACTCCAGTCGGGCACATCGTCCTGATTCACTTTCCTTCCTGAAACCGCCAGGACGAGTCGCTCCGTGCCGCGCCCCCTGCCCTGGCCCCTGCCCTGGCCGCGCCGCCCTGGCCCCTGCCCTGGCCGCTGCCCTGGCCGCTGGCTGTGAAAGGAAGGACCGGGAAGGACCTCCCCGTCGACGGGGCCCCCGGGGGACCGGCCGGTCGGCGAGCCCGTCGCGCGTAACCCACGTTTGCAGCATGCACGCCGAGCTCGACGCCGTCGACGCCGAGGGTGTGGGTGTCCGCGTCAACGGGTCCGTGGACACCAGGAAATTTTTTTTCAGTTCCCACAGACTATGTCTGATGTCCCGCAGACCACGCCGACGGACATGCTCGCGCGGCAAAAACGGCGAGGATCCTGGCGGCCGGCGGTCGCGCGTCGCCACGTCCCGGTGACCGTCACCGCGGTCATGACGGTCGTGAGGATGGCGACGTCGCAAACAATGAAGATGGAGGTGTCCAGTCATTACGACAAACGCGCAACAATTAGCGGCAAAAAACGGGGCCAATAATAAGGGCAGATTCTTGTTGCCGGGGCCGCGAACACACGCAGGATTGCGCTCTGTCTCTCTCGCACTCGCGGGGCGAGCGGCAGGGGTGCGAGAGAGACAGAGAGGAATCAGACATGGCTACCCGCGCGACCGTCGTCGGCGCCGCGCTGCAGACAGCCGATTCAAAATGGCCCCGGCGACGCTCGAGTCATCCGAGCAATATTCCGATTGGTTTCGACCGACTGGCCGAGCCGAGCCCAGCCTTTTGCCCTGGCCTGTCCGAACGCGGCGGCGAGGTGAACGCACGCCATCGAGGAGTATCGAACGCACCACGGGGCGACCCCAGGCGGCGTACAGTCTCCGACAAGAAGTCTAGCAAGAAGTCCAGGGAAATCTTCCAGTTTCCACGTATGGGCCTCTCTCACTCCCACTCCTCCTCGGCTTATTCTTTCCGAACGAGGGCCGCTCTGCGGGCACGCGCGACATCTGCACTGAGTCGTCTCTCGGTTGCTGCCCCCCCCCCCCCCCCCCTTTCGGATTTCATTCCCTCGGGTTGCCATGGTTACCATTCGCAGACCGATCAGCGCTGGAGAACAAAGGCAGGCATTGGACTGGCCCAAGCCGAGTATGGCTTTAACATGTTGCATGCTGATTCCTCTTATAAATAATGCCCCGGCTTGATTTACTCTGCTGAAAACAGAAACAACAACAACGAAATCCAAGGACGCTGGGGGAACACCACGCGTGCGCGTTTTTTGGTGTTGTTGTTGTTGTTCGGTTCGCGTCCAAGGTGATACATATTTTTTGAGCCATCAATAACACATTTAGCAGCGATTTCCGCGCCGTCGCCGCGGGTGCCGCGGGCAGCGGACGGACTTGTTGGGCTAATCGGGCCGATAATGACCCCTTTCGGACCAAGGATGGATTCGGTAGCCTCGCACGCCCAGCACGCGAAGCCAAGCGAAGCCTCGGACGAGGGGAAAATGAACACATCGAGGAAGCCTCCGTGGCGTGGCTAGGTGCCGTCCCTGGCGGTGGCCGTGGGTCAGAAAGGAACGCGTGCAGACGAAAAGAAAGGCCCAGGGCGGTGCTAATTGCTGCATCCCCCCCCCCATCTAGGCCCAGGAGCCGAACCCGGACGCACAGTGGCGATCTGCCACCTGGGCGGCCGAAACGCTACACGCGTTTTGAGCTCCAGAGTCGCAAAATGGGACTCGAACCGAACGTGCGACCCCACCAATGGATTGCTCTCCGAACGAGGAATCCATTAGTGGGGTCACACGCTCGGTTCGAGTCCTGTTTAGCGACTCTGGAGCTCAAAACGCGTCCAGTGGGCACTACTGGTCCTCCACTGCGAGGGCCCGGGGGCCCGGGCCGCCCGCTTCGACAAACACAGCCTTTGTGGCCGCAAGGCGTCATCGTTCGAGCAGCAGCACAGTTACCACTTTTGGAGGCGGTTTTGAAAGGACGCCTCCCTGGGCTGGCTCGCTGGCCTGCGCGGTGGACCGCCCAGGAGTGGCGGCCGGGCCGGGCCGGACCGACACCGCAGCGCAACACAGCGCGTCCTTTTCAAGACCACGCAGCGTAAAAACGGCTCGGTACCGGCGGGGCGCGCGGAGGGAAGCCCGCATGGGCCCCGAGCGTGACACCGTGCACTGCGAGAAAAACCTCCAAAAAATCAGCCGGTACACCAGAAGGGCGTTGAAGGCCGTTGCGTCGCCCAGCCTCCATGCACGTCGCGTGCCAAGGAGGGCGAAGGAAGCCGCGCCACTGGAGGACGTTATTCGCACTCAGACGGCTGCCAATAGGCTGCCAATAGCCGCGCATTTCGCCACCGTCTGCCGCGGCCTGCTTCTCTCTCGCTGTCTCTCTCGCACTCACGGGGCGGCCCGCAGGGGTGCGAGAGAGACAGAGCGACGAGAACTCTGTTCGGAGTCAGCCTGCCGGCCTCGGGGTAGGCAGACCCGCCGAGCAGGCGTGCCTATGGCGTGCCTACCGCGCCGGGCGCTCCTCCACGCTCCGCCAAAGCGAAGCGGGCGAGGCAGTTGGCGGCAGTGTAGGCACGCCGTAGGCACGCCGTCAGGGAGTCAGGGTTACGAAATGGCGGCGTTCTTGGCGGCGAGCGCGAGCGGTATCAAAGGCCGTGCACACCACACTGGAATGTCCACGTCCACCGTCTCCACGGTCTCGACCGTCTCGACCCACGCTCGGTACCGAAGTGGAGCGGCGCGGCACCTCGACGAACCACAGTGGACCGGTGGAGGTGGCCGAAATTCTAGACGCGTTTTGAGCTCCAGAGTCGCTAAACAGGACTCGAACCGAACGCGTGACCCCACCAATGGGGTTCGGAGAGCAATCCATTGGTGGGGTCACACGTTCGGTTCCGGAGCTCAAAACGCGTCTTGAGTTTTGTCCGCCTCCACCGGTCTTCTGGCCCACTGTGCGGCGCGGTCCGGGACGGGCAGTGCGACGGTCCGCCCCCGTCCTCGGAGGAACAACGAAATCGCAAGTGAATGTTACTTACTCCGGCGACGGCCGGAGGTGAGAGAGAGAGAGGGGGGGGGGGAGGGGGAGGGGAAGACCGTGTCGAGACGACGAGCCCACTCGTCTGGGGCTCTCAAAGGCCAATAAGGCCCTCTTAATCTTGGTACTGCACGGCAAAAAAAAGGTACTAATTTCCAGATTTTTTTAGCAGTGTAGGTTCAATTTTGCTAAATCAACCCTTTTCTTTTTTCGAAAACGACACGACAATCACGCAAGACAGCAGCCCACTCTATTCCATTCCCTTCCCGCGGCGACGCTCGCGATTTAACGGTCTGCCCCGGTCTGCCCGGCCGGGCGGCGCCGGGCGGGGGTTTGGCAACACAGACAGGGTCACCTAACGACGCCGTGGTGCAGTAGCCTCATTCCGAGAGTCCCCTTCGTCGCCCTGTCTCTCTCGCACCCGAGCCAGACGCCCCGCGAGTGTGAGAGAGACAGAGCGACGACAATGACTCTCTGCAGTGCAGTGGCAGTGCAGTGGCGTGGTGTTGGCAGCGCTGATCCATGCGGCGGCGCGCAGATTGGCCGCCCTGATGTTCTCGCGTGTAACAGTGTGGGCACGGCCGGGCACGGCCACAAGCAGCGAGTCTCCGAACGCTCCGAACGCCAAGCATGGCCCTGTGAGGCTGGAGCGGCTGGAGAACCGAGGCAGTGGTGCACTGCACTGCAAGCTGGGCAGGCTGCAACCGTCGTCGCTCCAGGCCTTCCAGGCTGCAGGCTCCAGGGGCTGTCGACCTGTCCGGCCAGCAGCAGGCCGGGGCGGGAGAGTTACGAGTTTGGAAAAGCAATCATTCGAGTGTCCGACGCGGCGTGGCTTCTAGGGCGGCGGGGCAATGCGGCACAATGTCGCCCACCGAGCCTTTTCCTTGATTGTCGAACCTCACGTGCACCGCAATGCACCGCACTGCAACTCCACGTGCTGCACCGCACGTCACCGCGCTGCAACTCCACGTGCTGCACCGCACGTCACCGCGCTGCAACTCCACGTGCTGCACCGCACTGCACCGCACTGCAACTCCACGTGCTGCACCGCACGTCACCGCGCTGCAA